GCAAAAACAAACAGCAAACGCGCCAAACAACGAGTAAGGCAGTCACGGGGAGAAAACCTTCACGACTTCGCTTGTCGCTTTCCAATCCCCTGTCGCCCTGGGGCTCCCTAGTTCCCGCGCCCCGTACATTTATATTTCTCCGACGTTCCCTCCCACAGGGCAAGCACGACCTCTCAAAAACTATCCGTTTTCCCACCCCCTTAAACTTTTTTTTTGTATTTTGGCAGTTGGCGGTGCCAACACGCGAGCGCAAACCCCTGAGCGCTAATATGAAGAAAATACTAACGTGGATAAACGACAACAATCATTGGGGGCGACCATGCACAGCACACCATGTGTGATGCCCCCTCCCCTATTTGTCGCTGACGGCCAGCGCGGAGATGAAGGCGGCGCCGACGCCGCTGCCGTCCCTCGCAAGCGTCGTTGTCACGTCGCACTCAGCACCGAGAATGGCGTTCATATTGTCCTGCAGCAGGCGGCGAAACGACGGCGTCTTCTCGTACACAGACCCATCGACAGCGACCGTCGCGCGTCCCTGCTTGTGCGTCTTCGCGAGCGGCGCACTGCAGAACGTGGCACTGATCTGCGCAGCGCGGCCACGCACCAGGCAGCAGACGTCGCGGACCACGTGCAGGTCCTCCACACTCGTCAAGTCCACGCGGAACAGCTTGCGGATCACGCCGCGCGTGAACTGCAGCCCTGGCATGCGGTCCGCGGACAACATGCCCACAAACTTCGTCTCGAAGCTCCACGGCTTGGCCATCGCGGACGCAAGGACAACCGGCAGGCAGCGCAGCTCGGCGAGGTGCACAAGCATGCGGCGGGCGAGCTCGCCAAGGTACATGCCGGACACCAGCTTCTCCTGCATCTGGAAGCCGCAGTTCGGCGTGGTGGCGTCCATCGCCTCATCGTACGCACAGATCGGCAGCACGAACTTGTACTTGGAGTCGAAGTTGCCGCATTCCATGTTGACCACCGTCTGCAGCTCACCGCGCGCGGACACGGCGGGGTACTTCTTCACCGCGGAGGCCTCCTCGAAGTAGCACGCGTTGGAGCCGGTGCCAATGATCACGCCCACCTGCGCGTCGGGGTCGACGAAGTAGCGGGCGATGAGGGTGCCGACGGTGTCGTTGCAGAGCGCCACGACATCCACCTTCACGTGCACACGCCTCAGCGAGGCCTGCAGCAGCTCCACCACGTCCTTGCCCTCCACCCCCCTCGTCGCGAAGCCCTTCGTCCACTTGAGCAGCACGCCCTGGTTGATGCTCTTCTGCTCCGTCGGGAAGCTGAAGGTGAAGCCAAGCGGCACGGTGCGGTTCAGGTCCTCTGGCGCTTTCTCCTCCATCATCTTCTTCACACTCCTCGCGACGAAGTCGAAGAGGTCTGTCGCGTCCCCCTGCAGCGCCTGCTGCGGGATCACGAACTTGGAGTCTGTGCGGCTCACCACCCGGCCATCCTTGCACGACACGCGCAGCACGCGGAAGTTCGTTCCCCCGAGGTCCAACGCGTAGAAGGCGCCTGTCGCCTTGCTGGGGTCCGCCTTGTACACGTACGAAGGCAGCATTCGCAGGGTGCTCTCGCGGCCCTCAAGCCCCTCGATCATCTCGTGGATCATGTACAGCATCAGCTGCTTGAGGTGGTGCTTGCCCACCGTGAACTGGCTCGCGAGGGACGCCATCGCCATGCGCTGCTTCACGTGGCGCATCGTGTCGCTGTCGCTCTCCCTCACAGCGATGTGCTGCAGCAGGTTGTTCAGGCGCGTCGACATCGCTGCTCACTTGCCGGACTGTAATGGTCTTAAGTACAATCGTAAGTCTTCGGTGGTTGCCGAGACCGCCAAAAGAGAGGGGACGCAGAAGGCCGGAATAAAAAAAAAAGAGCAAAAAAACCGGCAGGGGATGAGAGCCACTGGGCCCACTCAGCGCCCCGCCAGGCAAAAACAAACAGCAAACGCGCCAAACAACGAGTAAGGCAGTCACGGGGAGAAAACCTTCACGACTTCGCTTGTCGCTTTCCAATCCCCTGTCGCCCTGGGGCTCCCTAGTTCCCGCGCCCCGTACATTTATATTTCTCCGACGTTCCCTCCCACAGGGCAAGCACGACCTCTCAAAAACTATCCGTTTTCCCACCCCCTTAAACTTTTTTTTTTGTATTTTGGCAGTTGGCGGTGCCAACACGCGAGCGCAAACCCCTGAGCGCTAATATGAAGAAAACACTAACATGGAGAAACGACAACAATCATTGGGGGCGACCATGCACAGCACACCATGTGTGATGCCCCCTCCCCTATTTGTCGCTGACGGCCAGCGCGGAGATGAAGGCGGCACCGACGCCGCTGCCGTCCCT